GTCTTTGCAAAATTTGGCCCTAAAATATCAAACCGTTAGGGCTGTGCATCTGTTTAAATTTCGCGAAAAATTATAAGTAAAATAGTATTCTATATAAAATTTTAGATATCAAGCTTTTATATGATACCACACATAGTTTTGATTTACATAGTATATCGCGCACCCCAATGAAGCATGTGTTGGATATGCAGATCTTTAGTTGAAAGCTGCAAAAAAAAATTATTACTCAGTTAATAATTTCAATTTTTATCAATTCTTACGAACACAAAGACCTGTTTGCAGTCAGTTATTTATGAATTTTGCACTTTTAATCAGTATGATTGTGATTGTTATATAATAATCTACTTTATTTAGCAAATTGTAAAACTCAATATAACTATATTCAGAAGTGAATTTGAAACAAAAACATAACCATTTTCGAATAATGATCATTTTAATAATATTATGTTTGTTGGTTGCATTCTTGATTCAAAGTCAGACGGACATATAAGTAATTTTATAATATTTAACTTTAGAGTGCTAGTAATACTCTATAATTATAATTATTATAATATTAGTATTGTGCTTAAAATATTGCTAAAAATAAAACCTATCAAATATGCTTGCAAACTTTAAAACTGAATTTAAATCAAACTTATACAATACAAAAAAAATTATTTTAAAAAATCTAATATTATAATTATAGATATATTGAACTTTTAAAAAAACCTTCAGCTAATTGAGGAGTAATTTGCGCACATACAACCATTAGATTATAAATAGAATCAGGTGAGGCTTGTATAAAATCTCTATGTTTTTTAATAAAAGCTTTAATCCATGCAAATGCCGTTTCTATTAGGTTCATGTCTGGTGAATAAGGGGGTAAATACTCTATTTTGCAACCAAATGCCTCAATATATTTAACTAACTCAGGATCATGGTGAATACATGCATTATCAAGTACAAGTACACTATTAGTGTGTGGATATGGTTGCATTAAAGGAATCTAATAAAAGTTAATTTAATATAAATATTTATTTAAATAAATATAAATCTCATAATAAAATTGTAATTTACCACTTGATTAATAATAAATTGTTTGAATCGTTCTTTGGTACAATTTCCTTCAATTATATCAACTGCAATTATCCCATCCAACGATAAAGCAGGTAGTATTGTAAATCGCTTGCCACGAATAAATACACTTTTTTTAACTGCACGTGTATTTTTTAATGAATACCCATATCTTCGTGATAAAGACCTTTCATCTTTAGAAGCTTCATCTAAAAATATAAGCTGATTAGCTGTATAGTTTTCACCCATATGTGCAATAAAAGCACCACGCAATATCTCATTTCTTTCAGTTGCTGCTTTATGCAACTACAAAAATTTATAATTATACAATTAGTCAAATTAACAACTATTAATTAAAAAATTATTATTTGTGCACAGAATATTTGTATACAGGTATATTATTGCACTTCGCAAAAAGATGTAGTGTGTGAAAATCAGAGATTTTACAGATTTTAAAAGATTTTGAGAATTTTACCAATTTAAAGAAATATAATTATAATAGTATAAATTATAATTTGTTTAACCCAAAAGCTAACCTTAAATAAGGTTTAATTTTTGACTTATAATTTATATCTTATATGAGTGCACCTAAGGGAAAAACTGTCATCAGGCTTTCAATTATATTTTATGTACAGTTAGCTGTTTATGAAAAATCTATTATGATGATAGATTTTTCTATAGATGGTTATCTGTACACAAAATATAATTAAATGTGCAATGACAGGTTTTCGCTTAGGCACACTAATATGAATCTGTAAGTAATTAATTAATACCTATATATAAACATTCTGTATTAAGAAAATTTTATTAATTAAATATAAATTTAACCTTTTTTCTAGTTATTCCACAATATTTCAAGGATCTCCACAACGTAGGTATTGATATTTGTTTATTTAATCTTCTTTCTACTTCACAAATTAACTCGTCCAGATACCAATCAATTTTTTCTTTAACAATTTGTTTTAAGATCTAAATTTATAATAGCTTTAACCTTCTATATATATAATTCTAATATATTTATATATACTTACCTTCATTTCATCTCTAGAAAATACTTTTTTTCGTCCAGCAATTTTTTTGAATGGATTTACTACACAACCCCATTTTCTATATATATTTAATGTTTTTTTAACTAAACTCTTGCTAATATATAAAAGTTCGGCAATTTTGTTTTGTGAAAAACCATCATGATTTAAAAATACAATTCTCCACTTTAGATCTTCGCTATATGCTTTTGGCATTACAGTGATAAAAGTTTACGATAAAGAAGTTACAGTATTTGATAATTTACTAATAATAATAATGACCAACAATTGCATTATTGATAAATTTTAGAAATGCAGGGGGTGCATTCTAAAAAATGACAATCGATTTTGGAATCGATTTTGGAATCGATTCCGGAATCGATTCCGGAATCGATTTTACAATCAGGGGGCAAATTACGCAGGGACACAGAATTTTGAAAACAGCGATAATTTAAAATTATATATAGAGTTAACAAATATAAACTTTGGTATAGATAAATACGTGTGATATTGCTGTATTGCTTAAAGATATATACATGAGATACAAATTCATGGTGTTATTTAAATTTTATAATTAATAAAGAGTATGTTTCATTGATAATAGTAAAATGTGTTTAAAGTGTTTATTCTTTTACGTGTATTTAATTAGTTCAATTTGATTATTTTTTTAATCTATATGAAGAATATCTTTCTATAAGGCGTAACATAAAAATCACGACTTTTAGAAAAATCGCCAATAATTCGAAATTTCGTCTATGGAATCGTCTTTTGTGCATTAAAAAAAAGTTCTAAGAAATTTTAATATTAACTATATCCTTCTAACCTTGGTTCTAACCCAAACAACAAAGTTTATTACTTGAACTCTTTATCTTTATTGACTGATTTGATTTTTTTTCGTTATATCTAATCATGAAATTTGGTTTATACGTCATATTCTAGAATTTTTTTGTGAGTAAGCTCAGGGTAGTAAACATTTTCACTTCATGAATTAAATCAAGCTATCATAATAAAATTTTGAGTTATTGACTTTGTGTCCAAAATTTTGTTCATTTGATGAGCAAAAATCCGTCTGATTGCTTAATGTGAACCAGTCTCGTTAAATAGAAAATGCCGCGCCTGAAGCTAGCACCCGCCTGAAATCACAGGCTAAATTGGATTGCACAAGATGCACATATGCAAGAGTTTTTTTTTTTGATAAATTACCAAATTTATATCAGTGTACAATTAAAATTTTTAAAATAAATATATAAATACAGTCAGACCTCCCTAAATGCATATTCCCTAAATGCATAGTCTATGAAAGACCTCTCTAAATGCATGGCCTTATTTGGCCTCAACTCATATAACACATAGATTTTTATCTCCTTAAATGCAATACTTCTCTAAATGCAAGGATTTTTTTGGCCGCCCTCGGCTATGCATTTAGAGAAGTCTGACTGTATATGTTCGAGCAAGTAACTTTCGTTCTGAATTTTAAGCATTGCTGTAGCTGCACCTAAAATCTCCTGCCTAAATTCTAGCTAAGACGTGCAAGGTTGAATTAATTTCAGGGGCTAATTTCAGTCGCAGCTTCAGGCACCTGTAATTACAACTTCAGACGATGTTTAACTTCAGACACGACAAACATACTGTATTTAAAGTAACACTTCTTGTCTTCAATATGAAGGAAGCCATCCGTCATTATCCATTTAGACAGTACGTATACAGTCTAACCTCTCTACAGTCACACCCTCAGTTCCAAGAAATTCTGTGCTTATAAAAAATTGTGCCTGTATAGAGGTCAAATCTCTTATATGGATAGTGACTGTATGAAGGGCAGACTGTATGCATCTAACTTATAAGAAGCATTTTTGTATTAATAATTTAAAGTTTTTATGCATTTAGAGAATAGATGTAATTAGACAATATGCAATTAGACAGTATGCAACTAGGGATACAAACCGCTATAAATTTACTCCAGACTCTAAATTACTCAAAAACCGATATAAAAATCAATAAGCCTATATTAATTATGGATATAAAAAAATAAACATTCTGTTACTTACTTATTTGACTAAAGACCAATTAGAAATGCAAAGTTTTTACAAAACTTGCTCAAAATCGACTCACAATTGCTATGGGATCCTAATATGAAGTTAAAAATTTCATTAATACTTTGTTCCCCGGTAATAATAATAATAATAATAATAATAAATAGTGACACAACCCCGTAAATCCAGAATTATTGCATACAGTACTTTCCTTGAAAAATTATCTATTCAATTGTAAATTCTAACATTTTTGAAAAGTATTCCGATACTAATCAAGTAGTAATCCGAATTAATGATCTTGTTATATGGTCAATTAACATGATCAATACTATCTTCAGAGTACCCTCTTCACACAGTATTATATTGACATTTTTGAAATAATGTAATCAAGAGCTCTAGTCGCTATAATTCTAATTACACGGTGCAAGTCTTCCCTGTAAGAGCCTAGCATTTTGGGCAGTGTTAGCTGTTGGTTTTTATTAGTGAGACCTTTATCCCGACGCATATTGGTTCCGTAGACTAGTTACCACATATCTAATATTTAACATTACGAATTTTGCATACATGAACTTACATATTTTCAAAGATTATATTACATGCATTGTTGAAAATTTAATATATCATTTTACATGTCCAAAGACTTTTGTAAAACACAAGAACGAAATAAAATCAAACATTCTCAGGGCTTCGTGGAAAATTAGTGTTAATACACTTTTTTTCAAAATCTAACGAAAATAAGATTCATACGCTTTTAATAGTAATCATTCTTAAAGCAACCATGAAATTAAAATTTCTTTTTATAATCTTAACCATAGTTGCCGTTCATATCATAAATGCATATCCTAATCACAAGCAATTGCCTACCATTGATTTAGTAAAAAGAAGGGTTATTATGACCAATAACGAAAATTCAATTGATATTGCAAAGAATATAAGGGATATAGCCAAACATAAATACTCTAACTATAAAGATTTTAATGCAACAAGTTCTAAAAATGAACCATCCTCCAATGGAACAACTCCTAACAATGAAACATCCTCCAATGTAACAACTTCTAGCCATGGAACATCATCCGATATAGCAACAACATCCAACGAGATAAATTCAGACAAAAAGAAAGGCCAATGCACCTTATTTATAAAAGATATCCTGATAGATGTTACCTATTATGGAGCAATCACTATTGGAAAACAAGAATTCAATGTTCTTTTAGATACCGGGTCATCAAACCTCTGGATTCCAAATAAGAATTGTACATCCGCTATTTGTCAAAATCATAATAGATTTGATTCAAGTAAATCACAAACTTTTACACCAGAAGGTAATCCTTGGTCTATTGAATATGTCGTTGGCTTTACCTCTGGTATTACCGGAATAGATAATATTAAAATTGGATGTTTTACTGCTGATAAACAAATTTTTGGGCTTGCAACTAATGTATCCAATGATGACATAGTCTTGGAATATGATGGAATTTTAGGACTAGCTTTTGACAATTTGAATACTATGAATAATGGAGCACCAACTTTAATCAGTACTTTAATTAAACAAAAGAAAATGAATCCAATTTTTAGTTTCCATTTTCAACATACATTAGATTTCGATGATAGAGGAATTTTTATTTTGGGTGGTATTGATAAAAGTAAATGTAACGGAGAAATTACATTTAATCCTTTAATTACTACAAATGGATTCTGGGCAATAAAGCAAGATAATGCACTCGTTAATGGCAATCCAGTGTTTTCTTCACCGAATATTATTGCAATAATTGACACAGGCACTTCAATTATTTTAGCACCTTCAAATGACACAGCAGCAATTCATAAAAAAATTCCAGGAGCCGTATTTGATAGTCAAAATAATCTCTACATTATCCCATGCAATACCACAGCAATACTTTCCCTTAGATTTGGAGGTGTTGATTATGCAATTCCGTCAAAAGATTTATTTTTCTTACCAATAACTGGCACTGATTGCATATCGGCTATTATGCCTATGGATTTTTCTCCTACTGTTGATGTCTGGGTTGTCGGTCAAACATTCCTTAAGAATGTATATTCTGTATTTGATGTGGAAAACAAACAAGTTGGATTTGCACGTAGTAAATAATTTCCATCTTTCATTATAATTTATTATAATTTATTATATATAATTGTTTATTAATACGTCATAGTATTATATTATCTTAATATGATTTTAGATACTGTATAATATTTTACCTAATGTTTATTAATTTTTACTTTATTTAAATTCTTGTTAGATTAGTCATATATTATTAAATCTTTTTCTTTTATAATTCTTAGTATACTGAATTACTCATTATTAAGCCTCTGCTTTTAAAATTATCATTAGACAGGTTATTTATTATTAAGTCTTCGCTTTCTATATTACATTAAACGGAATTATGTTATTTTATTTTCATTTTTCATTGAACAGGATTCTTTACATTATTAAAGTTTCGTTTTTTTTTAAAAAAATTTTGGATAAAGTTATATATATAATTGGAATTTTGCTTGATTAGATTTAGTTCTTCGCTTTTTAAAAAATTCTTATTGGACAGAGCCTTCATAACTTCAACATTAAATTGTCCTTTTATTAATGTGAAAGGTGTCGCACGGGTTGTTACGTCAGACCCGTGCAATAATATAGTTATTATATGGGATTGCATAAAATAACTAAATTTGCAAGGGTCAACCCATTTCACATGGCCTTCGGCCATGTGGAACTGGTTAACCCATGCAAATTTAGTTATTTTCTACAACCCATACAATAACTATAACTTACGCGCTTAACAGTTTTTTCGAACTGATTATAGAACCTTATTTTCATGCACTTTTGTAAACCGTCAATGGTACAGAATTATTATACCAATATTAAGCTACACAAAGGTGATTTTTGGTTTCGCATTACATGGCATTCGAAATTTCGATCGGATTGTTTTTCTTTATTTATTTTTATTAATCAAAATTAATAGACTGAATTTTCATGTAGCCGAAGTCTGTAATTTCTAAGGTTTTCTTGAAAAAAGTTCTTTAATTAACTTTCGAACCAGTTAAATCATAAGCATTATAACTATGTTGAGTTTAAACCTATCGGTAATTTACTAAGGATGCTGATTAAAGTTACAAATTTACATGTCTCTGTAGAGTAACTTTTTAAATATAAGTATTAAATTTATTTAAAATAAAAAAAATTTTATATTAATAATTTTAACTAATCAAATATAGTAAATAAATTATTTTATTATCCAGCTTATAATTGTTTATCTATAACTTTTTTTATTAATATTTTCATAGTTGATATTTTTATAGCTGATAGTTTTAAAGCAAACTTTCTTTTTTGTTATTTTTCTTAGATTGTATTATAGTTGTTTGTAAATTATCTTTAAAAAATATAACCAAAAAAGAGGTTTTTTTTTAATTCAGTAATTCTGTTTCTATTATTTTGATTAGAATTATTAGAAAATTATTACTAATATATAAAGTAAAATTTTTTATACTATATTTCTATGCTAATAAAGGCTCACTTAGCATTAAAGCCCAGGTGCAACCATACCTAACAGCATTTAGCTTCACATTGAATTCTCAAGTTACTGAGAATATCGTCTCTCTGATTATTAACTATAGCAGCTGCCCACTTTATTATGAGGTTAAACAAAAGAAAGCACAAAAATAAAAAGAAAAACAAAGATATAAGAAATTACAATAAAATATATAAGCAAGAAAAGAAGATATAAGAAAGTATTAAAAACAAAATAAGAAATTTGTCTATCCAAATATTATCTTTATAAGCCTGTAAAAGGCTTTTAGAAATTACATACTACATATTGATAGATTTTTGAAATTTGTTATTAAAAATTATAATAATATTTAATTATGAATAATTTTTGATCTACTAGTTTATTTTTAAAAACAATTATCAAAATATTTATCTTGATAAGACAATTCTAATATATTTATCATTAAAATTTAATCACAAAATACTGAGATTAATAAAGATTTGTATCACTTCAGGTGTTTTAGGATTGATTAAACTAATTCTATAACATCCAAAGTGAACAAATTATTAATAATATCAGAATTTTGTAGTTGGATTTTAACAATTTAGATCTATTTCATAGAGACAAACACTTTGATAATAGTTCATTAAAAACAGACTAATGGATCAAAAATTATTCACAGTTAAATATTATTAAAATATTTAATAGTAAAATTTAAAAATCTGCTAATATACAATTTTATAAACAACTCTTTCTAATGATTACTTGAACCAACTGTTTCCAACTAACTCAAATTGAAAAATTTGAGCCTGATGTTTAAAATTATCCATGTTTTTCTTTCAGTTGCTATTGACAAAGCCTCTAATATAATACATTGAGAAGCAAGCATTAGAGAAGCAGTTTTTAGATTAAGTCAAACTTTTTTCAGTAGACTCCCTGCATTTAAGTCAGAAAAGTTATTCTGATAATGATTAAACAAAAGAAAAACTTTGAGTAGTATAGAAAGACGAACAAATAATAATTCGAAAGTACTCACTATAGTTGAATCTTGCAAAATCTCAATATTTCTTCACCACTTTTTTTTAAAAAAAATTATTAACAAAAAGTAGAAATTTGGCTACCCTCTTTCAAAAAATCAGCAAGAGATCAGAATTGTTTACTACTTCCATTTTTAAAAGTTTTGAGTTGCAATATAATAAATAAAAAAAACAACAAAACACATATAAAGAAGAAGTCTTGAAACTAAAATTAAAACTAACAATCATATGCTGAGACTTTAAAGTTAGATATTCTAGGACTCAAGTTAGATTTTATATAAGAGTTGTAACTAGAGTAATTTTATGAGATATACAATATTTTATAGTTATATGCATATAATTTTTAGCACTTTATACAGATTAAAATGCACTTTAGTTTGTTTAGTATATCAGATAGCTTTATATATAGATTTTTACAACTATATAAATAGTTTTTTATCTGGTTAGCAGGTTTTAATTCTTTTATAATTTAGTCATTTTCTTTATCTGTCTATTTGTTACTTATTCTCTTCTTATTCTATACTTATTTTTTTATTTTATTTTTTTCACTTCTCTATAAGAAAGTGTTATCAAATTAGCAACATTCTATTGTAGGGTAGTAATTCTAATAAAGATAGTAAAATCTGTCTAGTAATACTGAGACTCAAATCTTCAGAATATTAAAAATTCTAGTAGAAGAAATTGCTTACTTAGGCAGATCACTCTTGTGTCATATTCTAGCACTAATTCTAGTTTACTAGAATTTTGCTATAATAATAAGACAAATTGAAAAATTTTTTATTTAGACAGACATAAAGCAGTTTATAACAGATAATATAGATTTAGCTAATTGAGATATTTATTTGTAACCTGTTGCCAATTTATAAAATAAAGAAAGGATTGCTAAAATAAAAAAAATCTGCTAATATAACTAAATAAACTAATTTCTACTCTAAATTTATATAAATAGCAGAAAACCTTGTTAATTAAAGTAATGTAAGGATATCAGTATTCAAAAAAAGGTTTTAAAAAAAAATTATTTTTTGCATAAAGAAAAGTATAAAAATCTTGTGAAAATAATAGTAATAAATATTAGAATCTGTATAATAAATTAGTTATTATATATATTTGTTATCAACATTATGAAACATTAAATTAGTTTTAATATTATGCATTATTGTGACTATGTCACAATATACATAATATCTCAACTGATCTGTAATATTTAAAAATATCTATAACAAAATGTAAAATAACTATTATATATATAGTAAAATATATAAAAAATAAAAATATTTTAAATAATTATAAAAAAACTTTTTTTAATCTTCAAAGGTAAGGCCATGTCTTTATTTTTATTAAAATTCAATTTAACTTTTTTATAAATTAGAGTAAAAAAATTATATTATTTGAACTTTATATCTATTAAAATATTAAAACTAGAAGTTCAAACAGAGCTTTTGCTAACTAAAAGTTATAGAAGTTATCTGTAATCTAAATCTATAATAATAAAAAATTTAGGACAAGACTATACAGTGCACTCTGACTTTGTGCAACTTGCTATAAAATTTCTATAAAATCGCTAATTTCTCAAAAGTTTGACTAGGTAACACCTGTTGTGTAATATAAGCAAAATGTTCCTCTCAAAATTTTACCTTATTCTAACTTTAAACCTAACTTTAACTTAAACCTTAACCTAATCTAATATCTATTGCCAGCTCAATTTTGCTATAGAGTATACAAAATGCATAGTGCACTGTTTAGATTTTTTTAAAAATTTATTTCTATAAATTTTAATTATATAAATATAAATTTTTATTTTTGTTAATTAAGTTTTTTTATTATATAAAAATTATAATTTTTAAATTTAATTTAAATTTTTTTTTAACCTTTGCAATGTCGTAAAAAAGTGGTAGTATATTCTTGGTTAATGAAAGTATATTTAGCCACATATACAACTTTTAGTTGCCTATTTAAGTAGTTTATTCAAAGGTTTTATACTATATATCATACTTGTAATCTAACTAGAAGATTATCTATTTAAACTCTCTAATATCCTTCAGAATTTTCTATAGAATAAGTGGGCAATATAAGAAATAAGCTTTACTAATAATTAGTAATTATTGGAGATGATGCTGAAATTCATGTGATCACATGATGATCTTCTGTATAAATAAACCTAAAGTGGCTATAGAATCCTAGCATCACTAATTAAAAAATTTTACTATTAATATTAGGGTTAGGGTTTGGGTATGATCATATTTTAATTGCTCTAGTAGAATTAGATATAATATATGTAAAATAAAGAAAAAAACCTTTCATATCCTAACCCTAACTCTAACACCAACAGTGATAGTAATACTAGGTATTTATACAGAAGATCATCATATAATCACGTAAATTTCAGCATCATCTGATTTCAGCATCATTCCTGACAATAATTATTAATTTTTTAATAGCAAAGTTGCAGAATTTGTGAAGTTTGCATATCTATTTTATAGAATATTTGTCTCTGTTCTGCACCACCACTACAATTACACTAGCCTATAACCTCATGTTGCTTCAATCAAAGGCTATTCAAATTGACATGTACT